CCTCAACCTACTTTAGAGGTCACAGAGGTCAACAACATTTTAATGGATTTGTTCTTGAGAACTAAAAGGAATGGATTCATAAGATTTGGCTGGTAGCTTTTTGGAATAGAGCTAACCAATTTGAGAAGGAAAATGACATTGACCTACTGACAAGATCACATGGAAAAATATGTCAGCAACTTCTGAAGAAGAATAAAAAAGCATAGAATCTTATAATAATACTTTGCTGGTAGTTTCAACAGATGGAGCCAACAAAGTTTGCGAGGGAAATATTTTTAGTGCAATATAATATTTAATGAGAATATTTTGCTATGACTGCTTAAATATTCAGGTGAGCGATACAGGTCCTCTTGGGCCTCTTGTTACATTCACTTTACCATAATAACCTTTATTTTACCATAATTACCTTTACCTTACAGATATTACCTTTACATTACCATAATAACCTTTACCTTACAAATATTACCTTTACTTTACGTTAATTACCTTTACAGTACCATATTTACCTTTACCTTACAAATATTACCTTTACTTTACCATAATTACCTTTACTTTACCATAATTGCCTTTACTTAACCATAATTACCTTTACTTTATCATAATTACCTTTACAGTAACATAATTACCTTTACTTTACAAATATTACCTTTATATTACCATATTAACCTTTAACTTACAAATATTACCTTTACTTTACGTTAATTACCTTTACAGTACCATATTTACATTTACCTTACAAATATTACCTTTACTTTACCATAATTACCTTTACTTTACCATAATTGCCTTTACTTTACCATAATTACCTTTACTTTACCATAATTACTTTTTCAGTAACATAATTACCTTTACCTTACAAATATTACCTTTACATTACCATAATAACCTTTACCTTACAAATATTACCTTTACTTTATGTTAATTACCTTTACAGTACCATATTTACATTTACCTTTCAAATATTACCTTTACTTTATGATAATTACCTTTACTTTACCATAATTACCTTTACTTTACCATAATTACCTTTCCTTTACATAAGTACCTTTACTTTACCATAATTACCTTTCAAATATTACCTTAACTTTACCATAATTACCTTTACCTTACAAATATTACCTTTACTTTACCATAATTACCTTAACATTATCATACTTACCATTGCAGCATCAGTTTATATACCGAGTTCATAAGTTTGGGAAAATGCCTTTAATTCATTTCATGTAGGTACTGTATATTGACAATTGATTTTCTTGAGCATATATTTTTGTAATAAGGTTTCCATAAACAGAGATAATAATGAATCATTCATAGCTAAATCAAAGAAAAATAAGTGCCAGTAGCTATACCTCAGCTAACATTAAATGACTTGTAACACACTGTAATATTTTTATCAATTATTGCAAAAGTGTGTAAAGTATGTCTAAGTTTAACACTCTTTTATGTTCAACACAAGATGTTTTGGTTGCTATATTTTGTGTCAATTAATTGATAAATATGATGGATAATATCATACCAAGTATGAATTAGTATCTTTATTTTTTTGTCATGTTCAAATAATGCTGGGTTTTTTCCCCCATATATTTGACATCATCTTGATATATGGGTTGTTTTGAAAACGAAAAGGATAAATTAATATCAGTTTGTATTCATAATACCAAGTTCATTATTTACAACAAATATGAGTTGAAAATGACAAAATAAAGGAAAATATATTTATTCAGACTTTTATATATGCAATGTGCATTTTTTTTTTATTATTTTTCATTTTTATCTGTCGCACTCAATTATACTTTATTTTGGATAAAACATAATGAAATTTTACTTTTTGGTCAGGGTATAAAAAGTATCCGGGGTACATTTTGGTCGGGTGTATAACAAGTATCCGGGGGGTACATTTTGGTCGGGTGTATAAAAAGTATCTGGGGGGTGGGGAGTTGAATATAGGTTGGGTAAATGACTATAACATAACTGTAAATGTTTTTACATGACTCCCCAAATCTATTGCGTCCAGTGATTAAAAATTATTTCGGCATAAATTCCTGGCCCCGGTGCAGGGGTTGGTGGGATAGGGGTCGATAAATGTTCCCCTGTAATGTCCTGTTCAAATTCTGAACTCAATTGAATAAAAAATATTCAAATATAAGATTTTTCATAGGGGGGTACTTTTTGGTCAGGGTATAAAAAGTATCCGGGGGTACATTTTGGTCGGGTGTATAAAAAGTATCCGGGGGGTGGGGAGTTGAATATAGGTTGGGTAATGACTATAACATAACTGTAAATGTTTTTACATGACTCCCCAAATCTATAGTGTCCAGTGATTAAAAATTATTTCAGCATAAATTCCGAGCCCCGGGGGTGGGGGTTAGTGGGGAAGGGGGTCGATAAATATTCCCCTGTAATGTCCTGTTCAAGTCCTGAACTTAATTGGATTAAAAATAGAGAAGGAGGGGGGGGGGGTACATTTTATGCAGGTATAAAAAGTATNTGTTTTGAACGGAGTTTGCTCATATTTGACAGAAATACTTGTTAGGGGAGGAAGGTCTGTTGGTATAATTTTTGTGACCCTGACCTTCTAGGGGTTGGTTTTGGGGTAAAAAAGGAGGCGAATTTCAAAAATCTTCTTCTGCAGTTCCAGAAATGCTAGTATCAAATACTACTCATAGTTGTAAAGGCCTTTGAGTGGTTTATATACTTTGTGATTTTCATGTGCCCCAGGTCCCTCGTTTGCCTTTGGGGAGGGGGTAAAGTTGGTATTGTTTATATAGACAATTCGACAAATGAACAGCCATCACATACTTTTTATCTCTAACCCAACTAATGTGCTAGTAATAGTAACAACCTTAATTCTTTATGAATAATAAAGTCTCCATAGTAACGCTTCCAAGTTCTTACCCTACATGTCTGAAGTGGTTACAACTTGACATTACAGAGCAAATGTAAGTATTGTGCCATGATTGCTTAAATAACCAGGTGAGCGATACAGGCCCCTGGGCCTCTTGTTTTTGATTCTGATTCTGAGACTTATTTTGTGATTGCATCTTCTAGTAATTATTTAAAGCCATTGTCAGGAGGAGAGTTGTTTTTGTTGTTATAAAGATTTATTACAAACTTTATTACAGTATGCGGCAGACACATTCTTGCGCAATACGTCGGTCGTATTTTCTGAGGGTCAAGCAGTTTGTGCAAAGATCATACAGGTGGACAGAGAGAAGTCACGCTTGCTTGCTTCCCTCCGACTTGCAGACTGTTATGATGGTGATACAGATATTGGAATTAACCTCCTTAAAGACACACTAGCAGTGATGGATTTGGCCCAAAAAATGTCAAAAGGCGAACATGGTATTACTGTGTATAGTTTTTCATAATAATGATAATAATAATAATATACAACATTTGATATAGTGCCCAGAGACCTGGGGGGGGGGGGGGGGGGGGAAAGCTGCCTTATCAGGGGCTTTAAACTAGTCCTATGCTACCTGGCTAATATCTCCCTATGTATGTATGCCTGTGTGTGTGCTGGAGATGTGATGTGTGTCATGAATGCTAATATTAGTTTTTTTTATTAGAATTATAACATATCAGATTAGAACATTTCTATGAAATAAGTGATCTCTTTCCTTTTTTTTTTTGTCTATCTGTACAGGTGTTTTGCAATGTGTAACTTTTCTAATAGCAAGAGCCCTAGGAACAATGTACTATGACTTTAAGGGCAGTTTAGTGTACCAATAGGAACAATGTGTTGTAAAGAAGTATAGTGTATCCCTAGGAACAATGTATTGTAAGGAAATAAAGTTTACCACTAGACATAATGTGTTGTAAAGAAGTAAAGTTTACCACTAGGAACAATGTGTTGTAAGGATGCAAAGTTTACCACTAGGAACAATGTATTGTAAGGAAGTAAAGTGTACCCCTAGGAACAATGCATTGTAAGGAAGTATAGTGTACCCCTAGGAACAATATGTTGTAAGGAAGTAAAGTTTACCACTAGGAACAATGTATTGTAAGGAAGTATAGTGTACCCCTAGGAACAATATGTTGGAAAGAAGTAAAGTTTACCACTAGGAACAATGTATTGTAAGGAAATAAAGTTTACCACTAGACATTATGTGTTGTAAAGAAGTAAAGTTTACCACTAGGAACAATGTGTTGTAAGGAAGCAAAGTTTACCACTAGGAACAATGTATTGTAAGGAAGTATAGTGTACCCCTAGGAACAATGTGTTGTAAAGAAGTAAAGTTTACCACTAGGAACAATGTATTGTAAGGAAGTATAGTGTACCCCTAGGAACAATGTATTGTAAGGAAATAAAGTTTACCACTAGGAATAATGTATTGTAAGGAAGTAAAGTGTACCCCTAGGAACAATGTATTGTAAGGAAATACAGTGTACCACTAGGAATTATGTATTGTAAGGAAGTATAGTGTACCCCTAGGAATAATGTATTGTAAGGAAGTACAGTGTACCACTAGGAATAATGTATTGTAAGGAAGTATAGTGTACCCCTAGAAACAATGTATTGTAAGGAAGTATAGTGTACCCCTAGGAATAATGTATTGTAAGGAAGTAAGGTGTACCACTAGGAATAATGAATTGTAAGGAAGTATAGTGTACCCCTAGGAACAATGTATTGTAAGGAAGTATAGTGTACTCCTAGGAATAATGTATTGTAAGGAAGTATAATGTACCCCTAGGAATAATGTATTGTAAGGAAGTATAGTGTACCACTAGGAACAATGTGTTGTAAAGAAGTATAGTGTACTCCTAGGAACAATATATTTCGTGGCTGATGTGAAACTCACCAGGCTAAGTACACTTAATGTTTCTAACTTGTCAAAGGAGAACAAAAAAAAATATTTTTCTTCTCCATGTGAAATAGTTTTCTTTTTTTCAAAGAATGACTCTCAAAATTAGTTCTGATTAATTGATTAACAGGAAAAAAGGTACTGTGGAAGCACCATGTGGGGGATATTTGTGGTGGCAAGGTCACAGAGGTCACAGAAATGGGCTTGCTGTGTGTGCTGGACAGTGGTTGTAGAGCAGTCATCACACATGATAACATGGACGGTAAGTTCTCAGGTTAAGGTAATAGACCTTTCCGACGCGTACATTAATTGACCAATCACAGAGCCGGAAATAATTATCACCGACACAGTGTATACACGTCCGCCATATTGTCCCACAAACAAAAATATTACGGTGTGGGACAACAGCTAGAGAGACGACATCAAGATGGTAATTCGATGCGCGTGGGGCGAGTGTAATGCAGACGAAAGATATCCAGAAAGACTAGACGGAGGACGGTTTATCCTATTTCCCAAACCAAAAACAATCTTGGATTGTGTCGCCATTTCTCAGTAGAATTTCTTCATTATATTGCTTTGAAGTAAAGAAAATTTTCTGCCTATAGGTTGTCAGAATTTTAAGGACTTTAAATGGAAATTTATGTAAAAAGGAGTGAATTTTGAAAAAAATATGAAACACAATATTTTGCAAAATAATGTCAATAAAAATGATACTGACATAGATTAGTATTGCATTAATGTATATCAATTTCGTAAATACTGAAACGATTAAAAATTGACATTTTATAGTAAAACTATATACACATAGTAATTGCATGTAAGAGTTATCGTTCTTGAAAAACTTGACAATAGTGAAATAGGTAGCCGGTTTTCCGAAGTACAGATAAATGGACACATGTGACTCATTGATTAAAAAACAACTGAATTAATGCCTGGATTGCTTTGAAATACTTTAATATTGAAAGAACACTCTGTTCCGTTAATAATCAACATATAATATTCGTCAGTTTAATATTAAACATTAGAATATGCTGAAATTGTGATACTGTCTCCCTACATTGGGTTTTCAACTAGGGATGTACTTCCTATTTCCGCTTAGCAATACACTCCTTTGACCTTAAGATAAAACATTATCAAGAAAAATATACATAAACAAAAACAAGGTCAGCAAGGGCCCTTGTCAGACCAGCAAAACGGAAGTTAATATCTGAAAGTCTCAGCCAATCAAAAGCCATGTTGATCATGTTAGATTATGGATCTGGATATTATGTCCTTAATCACCATGCACACTATCCACTTGTACAATTTATAGCCAAGTAAGAACAAATCATACCAATAGCAAATGTTGTCTCGGCCAATCAGAACAACAGATGGTGGCCATATTGGATTAATGGATCTGGTGAATTAATAATATGGCTTTATATAGGATATCTGAACCATTTACAATCAAAACTAGAAATTGTTGGCTAACAATTTGACGGGCTTTTCACCGCTAGGACTGATTTGGGTTTGATCGTGGTCTTTTGCTTCTAACAATTAATAGATATTTCTGAAAATTTCCTTAGAACACAGCTGTCGTGACTTTGAGTAAGAAAAAGTGCAGTGTTTGCAGTCAATGAAAATTCAGTCACACCCAGTATCAGGCATGAACTTGTGTAAGTCTACAGTAGCTGACTGAGTAGTGGGGGATTCCCGGAGTGCGAAATGACGTCAGAGTAAGAATGGATAAATATAGGCAGCCAATGGGTGGTGTTGTATAGGAAGGTAGTACGTAAAAGTAATAAAGTCCATAGTTGACTATGTAATGTACATCAGGATGATGAATTGAAACTAGCATTTTTTCTATATCGGATCGGTTTGCCATGCAAAAGAAAGGCTGATGATACCCACTGCAGTAGAGATGTAGCCTATCCATACTTTTAAGATTGAGAGTGCGTAGTAACTGATGTAGTATAACCAGCGTGTACTAGAATTGCTCAAGTACGGAACGTTTCTCTGCAGTAAGATTTTGAGATCAAAGGTAATATTTAAAATAGCGTAGGACGTTTACGCTAAACGCTACAGAAAAACTGAAGACAGCCGATTCATTGGGATGGAATTTCACATCGACTGCAAAAAGATTTTTAAAAAGTAGTTTAAAAATGAAAAAGTTGAAAAACTGATGACCTTTAACCCGACACGGAGGATTTTAATTTGACACTTTTAAGAGAAAAAGTTAGTCCCAAGCAATATCTGCAAATGATATCAGGCATAAATGCTGTATAATAAACGGTTTTCAGATATGGCGGTTTTAAGATTTTGACATATGTCATGGCAGCCATATTTGATTTTTGTCGTACTCGAAAATGTTGCAATAACATCAGTAAATCATGGCCTACAATATACCTGAAAGACTTTGAACATGTCTGCTTACCAATCAAAAGATTTGAATGCAAAAATCTCACGAATCTGATGGTGAAAAGCCCTCATAATCAGAACATATTTGGTGGGAAGCATTTATGGGAGGCAGGGATTCAAAATTGTACAAATGGAGTGGCTTTAGTTTATATAGGGAAATAATACTTTTGGGTATATTTTGTTCATTTTTAGTAGGAAATTATTCTTACTTGGTGAGAATCATCTTTGGAGGAAGATTGTATCAAATTGTAAAATTTGGATTCTTGCCCAAACCCCAGGGGCCAGGGTGGGGCGGGGGCCTCAAAGAGAAAGTTAACCAATATTTCAAAAATCTTCTTCTCCAGACTCATTTCAGTATTTGATTTTTTGTCCGGATATTTTCTCCTACATTTTTTTTAGCTCACATGGTCCAAAGGACCAAGGTGAGTAATGACTTCTTCTTCTTAACCACTGAGTGGAATTCAACTAAATTTGACTGGAAGCATACTTAGGTGGTGGGGATTCAAAATTGTACAAATGGTTGGGCTGACCCCCCAGGGGGCTGAAGGGCGGGGCCAAAAGGGGTCAATTTGGCTATATTGCTTTAAGCGACTTCTTATCTGGAACTAAGAAATGGATATCAACCATATTTGACAAGCATCCCTAGGTAGTGGAGATTCAAAATTGCACAAATGATGGGGCTGACCCCCCGGGCTAAGGGGTGGGGCAAAAAATAGTTTAATGCTTGAAAATGGTCGAGATCCCCACCCTATTACCATATATACAAATGCTGAGCATGAAGAGAAGAATGCACATATGCTTCCAGGATTGCCTAGGGGTCTGGCCCCAACCTTGGAGACATATAGTCCCTGGGTCTTAACTTTGAAACAGTTTAGATCCCAACCCCAAAACTGTTTAATATTATACAAATGCTGGGCATAAAGAGATGAAAGCAGTCATGATATTAGAATTGACCCCAGGATCTGGCCCACCCTTGGAGACTTAACCCCTGGGTCATAACTTTAAAATGGTTAAGATTCCCACCCCAAAACTATACATACTATTGTTGGGCATAAAGAGATGAATGACGTCATGATATTATAATTGGTCCTTGGTACCTATAAAATTGCTGGGCATGACGAGTCTAATACAGATATGATACAAGGATTAGCCTTGGGGTCTGGCCCATTCCCTTGGATCTTATTTGGAGAAGATTTTGCCATGATTACTTTTGATATCCAGGTGAGCGATACAGGCCCTATGGGTCTCTTGTTTAAAGTACATGACCTTGACAAAATTTCAAGGTCACAATGGTCAAATATGTTTAAAACTTTTAAACAAGTTCTTCTCAATAACCGAAAGTCCTAGAATGATGACATTTGGCAAGTAGCATGCTGGGATGAAGGGCTACCATGTTTGTCCAATTTGAGAATCATGTGCCATGATTGCTTAAAAATCCAGTTTAGTGATACAGGTCAAGATCACATGGATAGTATAAAGATAGGGCTACTAGCTATGTGTAGGGCAGACATAATTACAGACAACATAGAAATATATGAGCTATTATTTTTACTGAATGACAAAGAGGGAATTAATTAAATGTTGAGGTTGAAGGACAAAAATCGTATGTTTGTTTTCATTGTTTAATAGTTCTTTTCTGTTTTAGACAGTCCTGTTTCTTGTTACAGATTTAGATATAAGCAAAGGAGGTGAGGTAAGAGGGCTAGTCATCAACCTAGACACAAAGGAAGAGTGTGTGGAGCTTTGTATATTGAAAGACGTGGTCAAGGGCTTCATCAACAGGAAGGGTCCTCCAGCCTCCAAGGTATGGGTATCTAATCCTTTCACGATACTGTATCACAAAACCTCAACTACATGTATATCTTTTACAATACCTTTTCTCTAGTTTCCAAGGTTCCAGCCCTCAAGGTGAATGTCACTCTGAAGTGGCCTTATGGCTGAGTGATTAAGGCATCTGGACATCTATAATTGCTAGCCCTTCACCTGGCCCGATGCAGTGGTGTGGCGTCCGTTGTCCGCCTGGTGTCCGGCGTCAATAGTTTTACTTTATACAACTTTTTAATACCCACAAGGTACTGGCCAAATATCATCATCCTAATAAGGCCTAGGGTGATGATATTTGGCCAGAAGCAAACTGGGATGAAGGGCTACAAAGTTTGTTCAAATAAATGACCTTTACGTATACCCATACTGAAGATCACAGGGGTCAAATATGTTAGAAAATTTAAACAACTTCTGAATAACCAAAATGCTGAGGGTGATGATATTTGGCCATTAGCATGCTGGGATGAAGGGCTACCAAGTTTGCTCATACAGGCTAGGCGTCACAGGTTCCAGACTGCCACAGCTTTACGAAATGACCTCCTAAATGCTTCTGGTACCCGGGTAGCCACTCAGACATTTAGGAACCATCTTCATGATGCTTGTTTAAGGTCACGTAGAGCAGCAATACCAGCTCCTTTAACTGCCCGCCATGTTAGGGACCGATTAGATTGGGCCAAAGCTCATAGCACTTGGACTCTTCAGGAATGGGAACCGTTTTTTTTTACTGACGAGTCCAGATTCTGTCTCTTCTTCACCGAGAGGCGCGTTAGAGTATGGAGACAACCTGGGAAGAGCTATCTCTGCCAGAAATGTTCAGCCAAGAACGCTCCAGGAGCTGGGAACAGCTTCGGTAGCTGAGTGGAACGCTATCCCACAAAACCAGATACACGATCTCATTGGAGGCATGTGCAGACGCTGTGAAGCCCAGACGTTCTGAAGCTGTGATTGATGCTCATGGACCTCACACTCGATTACTAAACAGTTTCTGTTTATTTAGGATGAGTTTCGTTCAATTTAAGTTTTTCAGTGAATACCTCGTTGTTTCCAATTTTAAGGGTAACCCTTTTCCTGTGGCTTGTTTTCTGATTGTAATTACGATTTTTGGAATTTTTGCATGCTGATGAATTAAAAGAACAATCAATTTTTCAAAAAGAATCTCTGTATAAACCAAATAAAATATTTATTTTCACGTATGCCCAAAAATAAAAGTGATCCTTAGCAAAATGTGAGTAGTATATGTTAAAACTTTTCAACAACATCTTCTGAATAACCATTAGGCTTAGAATCTTGATATCTGGTCAGTAGCATGCTCGGATCAAGGGCTACCAACTTTGTTAAAGTGAGTGACCTTTACTTATGTTCAAGGTCACATGGGTCAAATTTCTTCTAAATAACCATGAGGCTCAGAATGTTAATATTTAGCCAGAAGCATGCTTGGTTGAAGGGCTATCAAGCTTTTTCATTTGAATAACCTTGACCCATTTTTAAGGTCACATTTGGTCAAATATGTATAAACATTTAAATGACCTATTATAATCTAAATAAACAAAAGGATAGGGTTGTGATATTTTGCAAGTAGCATCCTGAGATGAAGGGCTATAAAATTTGTTCAACGTAATGACCTTATTCAACTTTCAAAGTCACAGGGATGAAATTAAAAAAAAAAAATAACATGTTCTTTTGAGTGACTTGTAGTCATGAATACTGATATTTTGCCTGTAGCTTGATTTTAGATCACTTCTAAGGTTACAAGTGTGAGATTAATTTGAGGTGAGTGATGCAGGCCCATTGGGCCTCTTGTTATTACTAGATCAAATTTGTATTTAACAAATATTCGCAAAATTTGTGATTGTATTTTCACCGTACCTGACAATGGCAAAATTTACACACACAGCAAAACTTGATGTTTCTATTTCTAAACTTTTTCTTCAGGTATGTAAGTATGGATGATGAAAAGTTCTTTTTTACACAAACAAAATATTGGTTGTGTACAGAAGAACTTTTCATAATTGATGTTTCTAATATCATACATGTACTGCCGTTTGTCAAACACAAACCATATATATATTATATGAGAACCTTATTACTTCATCTGTTTTAAAGATGATTTTTTTTTTATATTAATAGCTCCAGTGGCTTGATCGTTAATTTCCTTTGTTTGCAGATCGTGGTTAGACAGAAAGTCAACTGTAGAATTGTGCTGGTGAGGAAGAATTTTGTGGTGGGCACGCTGAAGGGGCAGGGGGCAGGAACCCTGGCCTACATTCCCGTCAAAAGAGTAAGTCAGCACAATGCTACTACCAGATAGTGTGGTGAAGGAATCTTGTTTTGATCTATGAGTACCACCACTACTAATTAGGGCTTTTCACCAACTGGTGAAAAGACCTATTGTTTTTGTTATGTTTCTTTTTCTTCTTATTATTCTTCTTATTCTTCTGCCGTTTTTGTGGATTCTATATCTTTTTATAAGTAAAAGATAGGTTTGTAGTATTTTAGGTATGTTGTAGGCAAAGGTCTGAAAATGTTCCAGGAACATTTTCAAGTAGGTCAAAATCCAATATGGCCACCATGACGTCCTACCTCAATATCTTAAAATAGCCATAACTCAAAAACAGTTTGATTAACAGAATTGACGCAATTATATTATATGTAGATAATCATCAGGGCTAACTTTTATTAGCTCATGTTATTTAAAAAAAAAAGTCAAATAAAAAAGCATGCTGTTGGGGTCAAAGGTCACCATTTTTTAAAAACATTGATTATTCATGTTTTTTTAAAAATCCTTCTACAGATTGATGTAGAATGCCATTCGATGAATTTGATGTCTAGTTTTTCTGTAACACTTACCGTTAACGTCCTATGGCGTGTTCATTATTGCCTTTTGATCTTTATTGAAAAGCCGACAATATTTTTACAAACTTCAACGATCTTCTTATCCAATTCTGCCATTACAGTATTAACCACAATTGGTACATGTATTCCTCTGGGAGCCCTTACGAACTCATGTTACTTTTTGGAGCAATTAATATTCTAAGATGGCCGCCACGCACTCTGATTGGTTAACAGCCTATACCAATATATTTCATTAACGAAATCAAGCATGAGATTCATCTTTAATATTTCATATAGAATTAAGCAAGATCAAACTTTTTCTTTCATACTGTGTTAACAAAAAATGTCAACTTCTGGTTTTCGATAGCGGTCAAAGTTCAAATGCACTACATTTGGTAACATCTTCTTCTTAAGTTCCATGAGGTCTAGAGTCCTGATATTTAATATTAAAGATTCTGAGATGTCAGGGTATCAGGTTTGAAAAAATGGTTGACATTGATCAACTATCAAGGTCACAATCAAGGTCACAAATGTTTGAAAAAATAAAATTACTTTTAATCAAGAAAATTTCGAAAATACCAATATATTTTGTTAATGATATCAAACACGAGGTTGATCTTTGGATATCCTATAGAGATAAGCAAGAGCAAACTTTTTCTTTCATACTGTTTTAACAAAAAATGTCAACTTCCGGTTTTCGGCAGGGTCAAAGTTAAAATGCACTATATTGGGTATACGGACTACATTCCTATACAACACCGCCATTGGCTGCTTATATTGATCCATTCTTTCTCAGCTGACGTCATTTCGCACTCTGGGAATCCCCCACTACTCAGTCAGCTACTGTAGACTTGCACAGGTTATTATTAGAAGGCCAAATCAGTCCTTACAGTGAAAAGCCCCTCAAATTGTTAGCCAACAATTTCTAGTATTTAAGTGATATTGTGTTTGTATGCGAGACTTGACTGTTAATGTTGCAGCACCTGAATGATGTACTTGAGATGTATCAGTTCTACTCTGGCCAGGTCCACCCCGTCATTGTCAAACAGTAAGTGTTGTCATTTAATTCATAGCAATCATTCAGTGTAATACCATATAAGCATGTAGAAGGGTTGCTATTTCTTGAGTGCATAACTAAAATTGCAAAAATTAATTTGATATTAATTTAATCAAGTCTTTAATTAGTACAGTGTGTAGGTTCACAGACAGCCATTTGTAAATCATCAATATAAGTGGCTCGTAGCTGTCCATATGCCAACAACATTGTAAAATATTCAAAGCAACAACATATGTACCATGGGGTATCCGGTAATTGAGAAATGTCATCAGAAATGAGAGAAGCTGTCTGTAATATGGGCTACCAATTAGTAAGACTTTGTCTGAAGATCCTTAAAAACAAAACATTTAGAAGGAAAATCAGTTGTGTTGCATAGTTATGGCAGTTATATGATAAAAAACACCTTAGAATTCAACTTAATTTTGTATCATCTGACTTTAAGGAAACTTGCTTAAATAGGAACTTATTTAAGATTTCAACATGGCAGTGAATATTTCTGATAAAATAAGTCCGGTTAAATAGCTAGCGATGCATCGATTCCATAAAGTTGTATTTATACCCTCTGCAACAAATCTTACGGGTAATATAGAATCAGCTTGTCTGTCTTCCGATCTGTCTGTTTGTCTGCAGACACATTTTTGTTGACACTACTCCTCCTAAGTTAATAAATTGATATTGATTTAAATGAAACTTAACACCCACCTTATGAACTTTGAATGTGTGACTGCTATTTTGTTTCTATGTGCCAGATTAATAGCTTGTTAATGAGGCTGTATCATAAGTGAAATACGTAGGATAGCATCATGATAAAAATCATAGGAGCAGAGTGCCGTGCTACTGAAAGGTCTGGAGAAAAACACTTATCTGGCAGTAGATTTATTGTAGATTTTTAGGTCACCTGAGCTTTGCTCAAGTGACCTATTCTGAACGATTTCCGTCCGTCGTCGAGTGTAAACTTCCTTCTCAAGAACCAGTGGATGGAATTATTTCAAACTTGGTCAGAATCATCCTTGGTAGATGAGGCTATAACATTATAAAATTGGGATACCTACCCCAATCCCAGGGGCCAGGAGGAGGCCCCAAAGGGACTCTTGCACAGATGGAAAGATCATCCGGTGCTTTATTTAAATTGTAAATTTCAGTACCTCCGGGCCATCCGTTCTCCTTTGGGGAGGGGGTAAAGTTTATTATAGTTTATATAGAGAAATAACTCTTTTGGGTTTATTTCATTCATTTTCAGTAGGAAATTAATCTTACTTAGTGAGAATCATCCTTGAGGAGGATTGTATCAAATTTTAAAATTGGGATTCCTGCCCCAACCCTAGGGGCCAGGGTGGGGTCCCAAAGGGAAAGTTAACCAATATTTCAAAAATCTTCTCCTCCAGACTTGGAGGTACTATAGTCAATTTCTCTGCATAGATGGAAAGATCATCAGGGGCTTTTTAAAAATTGAAAATTTCAGTACCCCCGGGCCATCTGGTATCTCTTGGGGACGGGGTAAAAATTTGCTTTAGTTTATGTAGGGAAATAATACATTTGGGTATATTTTGTTCATTTTCAGTAGGAAATTATTCTTACCTGGTGAGAATCATCCTTGGAGGAAGATTGTATCAAATTGTAAAATTTGGTTTCCTTCCCCAACCCCAGGGGCCAGGGTGGGGCGGGACCCCAAAGGGAAAGTTAACCAATATTTCAAAACCTTCTTCTCCAGACTCATTTCAGTATTTGATTCTTTGTCCGGAGATTTTCTCCTACATTTTTAGCTCACCTGGCACGAAGTGCCAAGTGAGCTTATGCCGTGGTGCGGTGTCCCTCGTCCGGCCGACGTCCAGCGTCCGGCGTCAATATTTTACTTTAATCGACTTATTAATACCCAAAAGGCCTAGGGTGATGATATTTGGCCAGAAGCAAACTGGGATGAAGGGCTACAAAGTTTGTTAAAATTAATGACCTTCACCTATTTTCAAGGTCACAGGGGTCAAATAAGTTAAAAACTTTAAACATCTTCTTCCTCGATAACCAAACTGCCCAGGGAGATGATATTTGGTCAGTAGCATGCTTGGGTGAAGGGCCAAGGTGAGCAACAATTTCTTCTTCTTAACCACTGATTGGAATTCAACTAAATTTGACTGGAAGCATACTTAAGTGGTGGGGATTCAAAATTGTACAAATGGTTGGGCTGACCCCCCAGGGGGCTGAGAGGCGGGGCCAAAAGGGGTCAATTTGGCTATATTGCTTTAAGCGACTTCTTCTGTAGAACTATGCCATGGATATCGTTCATCTTTGGTGGAAAGCATTCATGGGAGGCACGGATTCAAAATTGTACAAATGGTGTGGATGACCCCCCAGGGGGCTGAAGGGCGGGGCCAAAAAGGGTTATTTGGCTATACTGCTTTAAGCGATTTCTTCTCTGGAACTAAGTGATGGATATCAACCATATTTGACTGGAAGCATGCCTAGGTAGTGGGGATTCAAAATTGTACAAATGGAGGGGCTTACCCCCCAGGGGGCTGAGGGGCGGGGCCAAAAGGGGGCAATTTTGCTATATTGCTACAAACGACTTCTTCCGTAGAACTATGCACTGGATATCAATCATATTTGATCAAAAGTATTCATGGGAGGCAAGGATTCAAAAATGTACGAATGGTATTGCTGATCCCTAAGGAGGCTGAGGGGCTGGGGCCAAAAAGGGTATTTGGCTATATTGCTTTTAACGACTTCTCTGGAACTAAGTGATGGATATCAACTATACTTGACTTGAATCATCACTAAGTGGTGGAGATTCAAAAATTGTACAAACGGAGGGGTTGACTCCTGAGAGGCGGGGCCAAAAAGGTGTCAATTTGGCTATATTGCTTTAAGCGACTTCTTATCTGGAACTAAGAGATGGATATCAACCATATTTGACAGAAAGCATCCCTAGGTAGTGGAGATTCAAAAGTGTACAAATGATGGGGCTGACCCCCCGGGCTAAGGGGTGGGGGATATAGAACTCAAACTGGCAAAGCAAGAATAAGGAAAAGGAAGTGCAAACAATGACAAATGTGATTTTGTGACTTTTGTGATTTACAAATATCAGTTTACATGAACAAGTGACTTTAAGACACCTTGAACTTTCAATTATTGGGATTTATGTGAAACCTAGCTACTTTATCTCCAACAAGTGACATTAATTTCAACAAAAAAGTATCATTCTTAAATAAATATGTAGATATGTTGAGTGATTGTGAGAGCATTCAAGTGATATTTGAATTTGATATTATCTTGAAACTACGCGGTATAAAGAGACTAAATTTTGTTAGATGAGGGAGTAATTGTAGTAATGTAAATCTGCTAGCCAGGTAAATTGTAAGTGCTAAGCGATTTGTGTTAGGTGTGTAGGAAGTGTCATGCTGTGTCAGCTCCCTCTTGCTGTAGGGTGATGGTCAGCTGTGAGGATACGTATCCCACTGGGACATAGCTAGGTTTGACACTTCACCTATATGTAGATACTTGTTTTTGTTTTGTAGTTTAAATGTTTTATTTCTAATTGATAGTTATCATTTAGAGAATAATGTTGATACCATTTGAATGTACATAATATGTAGTTTAAGACACTGTTTTTATAATTTTAAACTAGTCAGTAGTTTGGAAGTTGTATCAATTTATCAGTCATTTGAAATGGCTTATATCTATGTCATAGGTATAAGTTAAGTTATATCATTATAAGCTAGAGAATATGTTCTTTCATATTCAATTCATAAGTTTTTTGTATCAGTTAGGGTTTTGTATATAAATGAATTTAAACTCCAGTTGGAAACACATCCTTCTAGCTAACTGTTCGTAATATTAGGGTAGTACAGGGTAAGTGTCTTCACCTAGGTATTGGGTAAGCTTATAAGTTTATCTGGACCCAAATCTGCAAGATAGGAGTACCAGATTGACTGGATATTATTGAGAAGAAATTGTAACTATATGAACAATTTGCAGACCTGTAAATAAATACAAGTGAAACATACAAACTGTGTTGTGGAATCATCACGCTAACTGGTGGGTCAATGGGCAAAAAGTGTTCTAAACTTGGAGATCCCCATACTAGACTACAAATACAATTGCTGAAAATAAAGAGACAAATACACATGTTCTACCAGAACGGCTCCAGGGTCTGGCCCCACCCATGGAGACTTAGTCACGTGGTCATGACTTTTAAAATATAGATTCCCTACCCATAACCATAATCACAATGGCTAGGCACAAAGGGACAGATACAAAATTTACAAACGAATTGACCAGCAGGTCTGTTCCTTGGTCATAACTTTGAAACTCATACATGCCATATCTCACGATTTAGGCGTGAGACTCACGAAAAACAGCCTTCCAAAATGTTGCACGGCATGGGAACCCATTTTCACGCTTTTTGTTGCGAATAATATCAGATCTCACGAAAAGAAACAAATTTGGTCAATCTTAGTGAATAAACAATAGCTACATGGATTCACACTGACCTTGGTCACCGCGAGGTCTGAAGTCACATGCCAGCCACTTAAATCACAGGCCAGGCAAATTAGCAGCATAGGTGTGAAAGTTCTGAATGGCCCGGCCAGCCGATTTAGCGGGGCATGGCTTGATTACTTGCTCACCGATGTGTGAATTGTTAAGCAATTAAATCAGTGATCCCACATCCAGTGGGGGCTAGTTGCTAATTAATATGTGATGACAGTTGATATTAACATTAAACAGCAACATAAGGAGATGTCGGAGCTGTTAATACCGAAATGGAAATGTTGGAGGCGACTATAAAATCGAAACCGGACACTGACATCGAATTCGGTATTCATTCTCTTGCCGTTGGGATGGGATTGAGTGTTAATGAAAACAACATAAACAGAAGATATAAAAATAGTAGTTATTGGTTATTTTTTCCACAACAAATTAGAATTAAATATTCCCAATGTTTTGAGATATATTTTTTCTAACCTTGGTTAATAAGGACATCCCTGTGGAATTTCTTCCTTTTTTAATTACTATTATATTTTGCCTTTTATGTGATTTATTTACTTTTAAATATTGATAGCTTTATCTGGACAATATGTCACGTGTAAACCTTTCTAAAATTATTTAAAATATCAAAAAATCTTAAATTTTGGCTCTAACAAAGTAATTAGAGGCTTCAGAATAACCCAAATGATTCAATACTATGATATATGCTATATAATGTATGTTTTAAATGTCTCACGAATTTAGAGAAAAAATCCTACAATTTTTGACCAAATCTCACTAAAAATAATCCCTGATCTCACTGTTTTGCACCGGAAAGGTATGGCATGTATGGAAACTGCTGAGACATATGCACCCTTCAGCTTTATAATATATATACAATTGCTGGACATTAAGAGAAGAATACAGTCATGGTATTAGAATTGATCTTGGAGTCTGACCACACCCTTAGGGACTACTTTTTGTCATAACATGGAAACCTTTGAGATCCCCACCATAAGCCAAGGTCAATATCACTCTTTCAGGTTCATATCACATCATATTTACCAGCACAAAAGCCCATAACTGTTTTATTATATGCTTCAACAATAAATTAAAATTCTGATTTTGTACGCGAGCCTCCGTGTAAAATTTAACCAGGTTTGAATACAACAGTTCAGCATTGTAGCTTTCGAACGCATCATCTAGATTCTTTTTCTTGAGGTAAGCATGGAAAAAATGCACTGCGTTTTCAATGGTCTTTTTTTACGTTAACAGCATCTTTATCCTCGAATAGTTTTGGTAATTTTCCTAACGGAGGAGAATTGTTTGCCAGCAGCCATCTTCTAATGTCGTCTGACAGATCGCGTTCCAGTCTAACTGCGCACGCGCTACGACAGGTTCCGGGGAATTTCCATACAGGCTATAGTTAGAAATCGTTATTCACCGGATAACCAGTCTACATGAGATTTTGAGGACTGGTCACGTGTATAGGATCCGACCAATGTGATTGCGAGAAATGATCATGCATATAATAATAAATTATATGCAATTGCAGGCCAGCTGGGTCTATTGACTTTATGGAAATATAATGTTATGTATGTATTAAGTGAGGTGTGAATTCACACATTTGAACATTTGCAGAGTGAACAAGACACATGTCCTGTGCGCTCTTGAACTACATGAGACTAGGAAGTTAGAGATGCAGGGTTTGGAAGGAGAGGTATTAAAGAACATCAAAACTCCTCACGACTATAAAGCTGGGGACCTCGTCATGGCCAGGTAACGTCACACATGTTGTCTGTAGTCAGACTAATTCGCATTGTTAAGCATGACAGAGGACATTTTTACCTGTTTTATTGGTGATTTTCACCTTTGGACTGTTGATTTAATTAAAAAAGGAGCAAATATTCATTTACTTAAGACATTGACCATAAAGTCAGCGTGAATTCAACGCTTGGCAGAGTGGCATTTGATGATACAAGAGGTGAAGTTATGTGCACAATGACATGAAGAAAAAATAGTTTATGGCATTTGACTGATATGTGAAACTAAGAGTAATTGATATAATTAACTGGTAAGATGACAAAGCTTGAATGATAATTGTTGTAAAATAAATAAAGTTTATGTGTGATACAATCCGACTCAGTATAAAAATAAACAGGCTAGCCCTTCTTGGGGCACGCTTTCTTTACTTTTTTCAATTTTCAGCTTGATTTTTAAGTAGTTAGTTGAGCACTTCAAGGTTCTTGTGCCTTTTGTTTATTGTAATCAATAATAAATGGTTTTGTACATGTTTCTTTCCAGTGTAAAGGCAGTGTTCTCTCTACAGATAAATATCAGTGTTGGACAAGCACACGGGCGGGTACACATTTCTGAAGTCCTGGACACTATTAAAAATGTAAGTACCACAAACAGCTGCACAAACACTGAGTACATGTACATTCTGTATTACAGACACAATAGACGATGTTAGTACATGTATTACATACACTATAGACGATATAAGTACATGTATTACAGACACTATAGACGATGTAAGTACATGTATTACAGACACTATAGACGATGTTAGTACATGTATTACAGACACTATTGCGATGTAAGTACATGTATTACAGACACTATAGACGATATAAGTACATGTATTACAGACACTATAGACGATGTAAGTACATGTATTACAGACACTATAAACGATGTAAGTACATGTATTACAGACACTATAGACGATGTTAGTACATGTATTACAGACACTATTGCGATGTAAGTACATGTATTACAGACACTTCGGACAATAGTACATTATAGCAGACACTATAGACGATGTTAGTTCATGTATTACAAACAATATAGACAATGTAAGTTCATGTATTACAGACACTTCGGATGATAGTACATTATAACAGACATTATAGACGGTGTAAGTTCATGTATTACAGACACTATAGACGATGTGAGTACATGTATTATAGATGCTACAGAGGATGTAAGTATATATGTATTACAGATTCTATAGACGATATAAGTACATGTATTACAGACACTATAGACGATGTAAGTACATGTATTACAGTTTAAAGAAAACAACAACAATGGTATGAGGTTTGACAGCTTTATTATGTAATGATAATATGCTACTTCATCTAATATCTTTTGGCAAATGGGGGGCGACAAATGCACGAGTACCCCCAAGAAATATACATGTAAGACTAGGCTGGAGATGGTCATGACTGTGGCAGTAGGGCTGTTACCTACTGGGGAAAGTAGGGCTGTTACCTACTGGAGAAAGTAGGGCTGTTACCTACTTGAAGTTTCATGACCATGGCGGAGCCTGAGACCAGAGGAAACTTAAGTTGCAGGGAGGAGAGATGATTGGAGCGAGTGCTGCCAACCAGACAGTCATGACCCGGTTTATCCAGCCTATTTATAGATGAGAGATGAGCTAATGGGCTCAGACAATGAATATGTAGGAATATTTAATTATTTGGGGGCACTTATATCGGAATTATATAAGAAAGCCAATTTGGAAGAACGAAGTATTGGCGATTAGTAGAAATGGCAATGCTTCGTGAGTACAAAGCCCCCAAAAGATTATTATAGTTAAAAAGTTACAGTTTTGGTAATGTTCTGTGTCAGTGTGGATGGGGTTGTGTGGGGTATGATGGGGGAAAATTCATAGTTATATGGGTGTGAAGTACATGATACATGTGTAGTAGCTATTGTAGATTGGGTTGGGCAACACATAGTTATACATAAAGTTTCAAGAGATGTTAAATATAAACACGCCATCACGTTGAAGATATGGATATGTGAAGGCCGATAAGACTGAACACTTAGGTTTTGAGAACATGTTCCTCACTATGAAATCCCGTGTCTGGTCACGAACAGTTGTATACATACTTGTGTAAGACAGATACACTTACATATTGTAGTTCATTCCGATAGTCAAAGAGTATGACTGGTAATAACGGAACACACATAGGATGGCACGGGGTGATTAAGAGTTCTTCAAGATGGAAAAGTACAAGTATAAAGGCACATGACATCTCAGCTAGCGATGGCACAAGTGAATCTGTGCCCTCCTAATGTCGTCTGTATCCAGACGAATGTATCGTAAATAACAGTTAGAAGACCACCGACCTAAGGTTTTGACCATGTGGTCGGGAATGTCACACTTGGCAGCTGTGGTAGCTGCCCCTATCCGGAAGCTGTGGCCATTGTAAGAGTTAGCATCGAGACCTAGGTCTGTAATGATGGATTTGATGGCCGATATGAAGTAAGGCCGACTGAGAACGGCACCGTTGGCGGTGACGAAGAGGGGGTCTGTTGTGGAAGCCCCTGTATAGGTTCTGAGCAGTAAGTTCCCCTTACATGAGGTTGACGGGACATGAAGGGGTTGATGTCACGTGGATGTGAATTTTTACACCATGTCGAAACACATCCGTTTTAGAACTGGGTAGGTGTAAGGTGTAAGCTGAGAGCTGGTCATTAAGCACGATATCCATGATGCGAAGTGAATTATTAGTGAATTCACCACAACGAAGAAAACCAAAGAAGGCCATCTTGCAGCCACTGACAACATGAGGTTTTTGAAAGAACCAAGTGTGGTTTGACCTTTGGTAAGCCTGTTGATGATCTTTAACAGGAGATCATGGGTAATTGGAAGGCGGTTGGGTTCAGAGTTGCACTGGGACCTCTTGACTCCTCGAAGGATGAGTTGTAGTCTGTTTATCATGGCTGGTTGGGAGAGAGGGCAGTTTATGTTGTAGGTGATGTAGAAGTGGCGAACGCCGGCGAGGTATTGCTTGATGGTTTGATACTTAAGTTTTTTGTTTACGCAGAAAGCCACAAAGTAGATCAGAGTATCCTCGTCCACTTCTGGGGGGGCGGGACTTGTGGAAGTCCACAATGAATGGAGCACGAGAAATCTTTTGTACAGGGTTGATGCAGAATTGTATACGTTGATGGTACCTTGTGCTAGGGATGTTTCCCAGAGCCTCGTCACTGTCGGATTTAGGTAAGCAAGAGTTTGTCCAGTGAGGGGATCTTGTGAGGGTAGTGGTCCGCATGTGGCGCCAGTGCCCTGAACTTCTTGATCTGTTGACGAGAAAGACAGTCGCTTAATACATTGTATTTTCCTGGTATATGTTTTGCATGCACGACAAAGTTTTCATTAGCTGCGCAAAGGGTAAGGGTATGCATGAGTTTCATAATCATTGGAGATTTACTGCGACCTTTTGTGATTATGGCCACAGTGGTGGTGTTGTCACAATGAAAGAGAATGCGCTTGCGGGGCCAGTTTTTGGACCACAGGAGTGCACTCACGACGATTGGAAAGAGTTCCATGTAAGCGATAGACACCGAGTTTTGGCATGGTGTTTGGCCATGGCTCGGCAAACCATTTTCCCTGGAAGTAACCACCGTATCCATGAGTTCCACTTGCATCAGTAAATAGTTCGAAATCGGCGGAATTGGTTAGGTTGTCGTCATGAAAGAACGAAATTCCGTTCCATGTCTGCAAGAATGAGCGCCACATGAAGATTTCGCTAACACAGTCACGGTTCATGGAGACATGAAAATGAAGTTCTTTAACGGAGTGGGCGAGGGTAAGGAGATAGGAAACAAAACTTCTCCCTGGAATGATAATGCGCGATGCGTAGTTGAGGTGTCCTAGCAGACTTAACAGTTCGCGTTTTGTTGCTGTTTTTCGTGTCGCAAATTCGGTCAGAACCTCGATGATACACGAGATTTTTTCCGGGGGGAGCGATGCTTGCAGTTTGATGGTGTCCAAGTCTATGCCTAGGAAAGTCATGTAGGTGTCAGGCCCGAGGGTTTTGTCTGGGTGTAATGGTATGTTTAGTCTATTGAAGACGAACTGAAGGGTTTCCATGGTCTTATGGCCATTATTCTGCACGGGGTCGATGGTTAAGAAGTCATCCAACAGAAATAACATTTTTGATATACCATAGTTGTGCGTAGCTATGTAGTGGATGACCTCCGATAGCATAGTGAAAATTTTTGGGCTACTCCTTGACCCGAAACAAAGTCGAACGAAGAAGTAGAATTTGTCTTCCCATTGTATGCCATGAAATTTCCAGAGATCTGGATGAATAGGCAAGAGTTTGAATGCATCAACAATGTCTGTTTTGTTGAGGCTGGAACCTTTCCCGAGTTTTTTGATTTCAGAAATGGCATCGTCGACCCGCACATACTTGACCGAATATTGATCTTTGTCGATGAGTTTATTTAGGCTGGTATGTTGTGGGTTATCATGGGGAGCCGACAGGTCCACGATTGATCTGTATTTTTTGGAATACTTTTTCTGCGCTAAACTGAGAGGGTTAATTCTGTAGATCTTGAATGGGGGTCTTTTGAACGGTCCGATGATGTAGCCTTTTTTGAGTTCTGTTTGTAGTAGTTGGGAAACTATCAGGGGCTGAGAAGTTGCTGACTGTAAGTTTTTACAGGTGAAACTCACTTTAGGGTGGTGTTGTATTCCTGTGTTGAAACCATGTTTGAGACCATTGACGAGACTCTGTACAAACTCTTGATCGGGTGGTCTCTTAACTCGCTTTCCAGATTATCAATGTTTATAGGCGTGCTGGCCCTGGAATCGAAATCACGCAGTTCTTTGAAACCTGAGGACTTGAAGGCGGTTGTGATATCAGGGAGTCCATTTAGTCAGTTCTGATTGGATGTGGCTGATTGACGTTTTTGGTTATTTTTTCCTTTTGCACACTCTGGAGCTGGATGGTTGGGTGATTTGCATATTTGGCAGCAGTGAATCATTCGTGCAAAATTGTTGTGGGTGAGAATGCAGCCAATGGAATTGTAATTGTTGCACAACTCTTTTCCGTTATGGAATAGCCTTGGCCGACCCCTCTTGTCAGTCTTATGTTGGGCTTGGTCTTGGGAACTACCCTGGTTGTTGTTGTTTGCCTGTTTGGGGTTGGATTTCCCATGTTCTGGGTAGGGCGGACTGGTTTGGTCGTTGTGGAATCTGGTATTGAGGAGAGAGGGACAGAAACCGGAATAGTGGCTAGCGCTATGACAGTGTTCGCACGTGACGCTTATCAGACCTGAGAACATCTTTAAGTAGAGTCCGGTATTACGTGATGCCCAGTTGATTTGAAGGCCCATGGTGACCTCGTATTGTTCTGCCTTTTTAGAGAAAGCAGTGTGGTAGTCGTAGTAGTGGGTGCCCCCATATTGCACAAACATGTCGTCAATGAGGTCCGAATATGAGTCGAGTTCGCGGCGTCTTTCTGGCTCTTTCTCACAGATCACGTTTTTAAAACGGGAGAAGGCAATCCTGAACTCATGAATGTTTAGATGACGCATAGCTCTGGGGTCATTACTTTTTACGATGACCTGGTTACCGGACTGGTCGATGATTTT